ATGGGGCCTTGTGTTCCGCGACAACGTCCCATGATAGGGACTGACAATATTCTTGTTGGCAACAAATTAAGTTTCCTGCTACTTGTATTCATGTGGTCTCAACATATCAAACTTTGCATCAACTTCCATGGATGCCTTCCCAATGCTTGCACAACAAACAACGTAGAACACTTTCCTTATTCTTATGAACTCCGTAGCACAAGAGTGCCGATTATTTATCAACGAGGGGTGAGGGAGAGGGTGAATAATAGCAACACCAGTGCCTTCACCAACTGAATAGTTGTCGTACAAATCATCGTTTTCTATTTGCTAGATGATGGTTGATGGGTGAATTTAAAGCATCACAGTCTCTTTTTCTTATTACGGATGGAGAAGCAAAACTGTATTAACTACAATCTCGTTTTCTTAAGCATTTAAAGTTTCAGTCCTTTTTACATGTCCAATTGGGTTTTACTTTCTTTGTTAAGTTTATGTCAACTTTGTGATTTCAGTTACTTTTGTTAAGTTCCGGTCATTTTTCTAAACTATTCACCCTTGTATTGTTACTTTACTAGTTTTGCATTTGTCGCAAATACCTTTTTATTTTTGTGGAATTGCAACTTGTCCTCGTTGTAATTTCACTTCACCTTTTTTAAAGATCTGTTTTGTTCCCTTTTTGCTATAGTTGCTCCTCCATTTCGTACGTGCTCAAACGGCGTCATGGTAGTGATCATAACAGTCAAGTCACCAGGAGGACGCTCGGGGTCAATAATAACATGTTCTTAACTGGGCTAACTCCCTTTCTATTAAAAGCATAACGAAGAAATATAGTACAAAGATTACAGGATGCGAGTATGAAGGGAAAGCAAGTCCAAGCGCTACTGGGAAACCCACTGCACAAGCTCGGCATCAAAACGTCATAAAACATCCAAACATCCAGCTTAATAACAATGGTTGTCGAGATCCTGGGGCATACTCAAACATATGCAAATTTGCGATCAAACAACTGCAGATTTGTAGTTCACAGTTCCTCAACGAAGATCTCCTACATTAATTGCAGCCCAAAACCCATCACTTTTGCCAGAGTTCTTTCTTGTTGTGCATAAATTAAGTTTCCTGCCAGCTCCAACTCCCATCTATTATTGTCTCTCAACATGTCAAACCTTGCATTAATTTCCATGGATATCTTCCCCATGCTTGCACAAGCATAGCTAGCAACATAGAAGATTTTCTTCTTCTTATGGACTCTGCAGCACTAGAAGTGACATTATTTATCAGCTGGGGACGAGGGAGAGGATGCATAAGTGCAACATAAGTGCCTTCACCCAACTGAATAACAGTCTTTTCCACAAATACAATGAGGGAGCTGGAAAAAATCAGAACTAATTCACTATATTGTAGATGATGATTGATTGACGAATTTAAAGCAACACATACTTGTATTAACTAGATTCTCCTAATTTAAAAGCAGTGCTAAAATGCAGGCACCGTTTTATTTGTTTTCAATGTTTTTTGTGTCTTCAATTGGGTTTTAGTCACCTTAATTTGGTAATTTCACTTACTTTTGTGAGTTGCAATCCCTTTTCAGAATTTTCAGTCACCATTTTCTTGCTACTTTGCTAGTTCTATTTTTGTTGCCATTACACTTTTCTTTTTGTGCAATTGCACCTTGTTCTTGTTGTAATCCTACTTTCACTCTTTTTGGCATATTTGTTTTATTTTTGTTGAAATTGCACACAATTATTGTGTGCAGTTGAACTTTTAGTAGTTGCAATTGCATTTTTCTTTTTCATGAAACTGCATTTTAAATGTTGGGGCATATGAATGACACATGCATTATAGACTCTGCCTGAAAAAAAATCCCAATTTCAAGGAGCACAAATCAATATTGTCGTTCATGCTTATATTTTTTTGATAACTAAAACCCTCTTTATTCATTGGTGATAACACTTACATCCTTAAGTAAAAGAGGAAGAAGCTCATTAGGAGCAATTTCAATCCACTCGCTACAAAATTTAGATCTAGCTACACTAGCTAATTCATGAGAAACAACATTTGCTTCTCTAGGACAGAATTGAAACTGAATTGAACTAAACTCACATGCCAAATGGTAACACTCATCAATGATGGCTGCTGCATTGCCCGCATACTGACCGTCCATGTTCATAATCTCCATTAGTTCCAGACTGTCAGAATTAATGACTAGCCTATTACACCCTGCCGTGGAAGAGAGTTGTAAACCGAATTTAAGAGCCAATGCCTCTACAGAAAGAGGGTCATAATAGGAGTATTAGTTTGTTTCCGAAAACTATGAAATGACCTCTGTCGTCTTTTATAATTGCTCCCATAGCTTCATGTAGCGCGTCACAGTCAAAGACGACATCTACGTTCAGCTGAAAAAGGGCATTAGATGGTTTTCTCCATCCATCCTTCTTTAGTACTGCCTTCAGGTCACCTGTAATAACAAAATTTTCTTCCAGCGCTCTCACAGATTGTGATGTTCTTTTTGCATCTTGCACATGCTCCTTGTGAACTAGTTTTCTTCTTTCCCACCAGAGGTACCAACAAGTGATAGACATGAGCTCATAGAAATTTTTAACGCCTAGAACGAGTGCCTCCTGTGCGAGAAATTCAGCAAATAAGCAAGCACTGCTTCCCCCACTCGAGCCACTTCGCATGCATGCACTATAACATCCTCCAGTCCTAGGAGGAGCCACACTTCCTTGGCTTTTTTTTTCTTGCATCGGAACCACACATGCAAAACATCATCCGCACTTTGGCCACATGCTAGACACGCCGGTCTAACAGGTATATGATGATTTGCAACAACAACATTACAAGGCAAAGTTTCATGTAGTGTTTGCACGAGAAAGATTTAGCATACAATGAATTTAAGTTTAAAAGGTTTGGCATTTGTGCATTAAACTATTAATAAATCAAATACATGTACACGGAACAAAAGGAGCAAGTCGCTCTTATCATTAAACCACACTTACACATCAATATCTCAACGTCGGCATCCTTCTCGGCTACACGTTCTACTACCCCTAGGCCGGACTGCCCATTGTACGTCATCGGGGTGCTTCTTAGCGATGCAAGCGAACGCGGTTGTCTGCGAAGAAAAACGAAGCAGTTAATCACTGCTAATTTAATAATAACCGTGCTAATGCAAATTGATGAATGTGGACGCTCGCAGGCTTCATGGACGCGTCCATCTGCATGCCTAGTGCTTCTAGAGTGCGAAGAAGCAACGTCCGTAAAAAACAGGTTACATGTTGGTTTTGCCACCGGCATTCACCTTTTTCTGAGATTGCCGCACATAATTGAGAGACTAGTAACAGTTAGGGCATCTCTAACGTCGATCCACAAACCGCCCGCAGCCATCCGGATTGTGGTCCATATGTGTTGTACCATCCAACACGGTTTATATCGGTCCGCAGAGCAATCCAGACGTATTTTCTGCTGTAAACCAGAGACAAATGTGGGGGGCTTTGCGGACGTCCGGACAACACTCAAGCCCGCTTCCGACCACACTGGCCCACCCAAATCCCCTCTTCCCTCGCCCGCGCATGTTCCCGCCCTATGCCAGTTGTCCGCATTCATACCGTTGTAGAGCGTGCCGCTCCACATTGAAGACGGCTCAAGACGGGCATGACCTCTCGCTGCCTTCGCGGTGCGCCGGCCGAGGGCGCCGTCCCTTCCACGTCCGGCTGAACATGCCTCCTCGCCGCATTCATACGCCTTCATTAAACCCGTGTGGAAACTGAGAAACCTACTTCGCTCACACGTCCGCTCAGGGGCGGGCGGCATTAAACACAACATCGGGCAAGCTTCTTCCTCCCATCCGCTATTTAAAGGAGGCTAGACGCCGGGCAAGAATTGCACCACTCCGCCGCTCCCATCTCCATCTTTCGCCATTTTCTCTACCGTTTCGATGGCATCCGACGAGCAGGAATAGCAGTTTCTACGGCATAAAAGCCGGCTAGGTAGCCCCCCGAGCCTGCTGGATACGAGCGAGGCAGCTCGCTGCTCTACCTCCAAGTCCGACAGAGCAAGTTGCCACTCAAAGCCGGTGAAAGGTTCAGCAACTTGCTGCTCCAAGCCAACTCGCGGAGGAACGACGAGTTGCTCCAGGACAGCACGACCACGCCATACACCGTTAACTTCGCCCTGCCGGCAGAGAAAGAAGCCGGCTGCGCGGAGATCAATGAGTCGGTGGTCGGTGCGTCCGCGTCCGCCGTCAACATCGAGAAAAAGTAGAACACGGGAGGCTACCACCACTTTTGTCCAAGGAAGGCCACCGCCCGGCGCGTTGCCGGCTTGTATAGTCGGTGATTTGTCCGGTTCTTTATCTCATACCATCATGGGCCCCCGTCTAGACTCCACGGAAGCAGAGGAGCCACCCCTTCCTCTCCATCTGAAGAACCCTCTTTGTCACTCCCATGAGCAGCGCAGCCGGACATATGGAAGATGCGGGGGCAGAATATACCTCTAGGGCTCCCGGCAATCCGATGAGCGGGCTGCCGGACATGGAGAAGACAAAGGGATCCGCCGTGGCCGGTTGACCACTAGTGTAGTGTATCCGTGTCGTGGGAGTGGAACTCCGCCCCGTACCCGCACATAGTTTTACTTTTTTTACTTAAAATATATCAATGTAGACGATTTCGACCGGATTATATGGAATACGCTGTGTTTGAATGAATTTCATCTGATTTGTTGAAAAGTGTTTGAAATATATGCGTACAGTGTTGGATGGCGGTCTTCCACATCCGTGTCTGTTGACTGGTCCCTCTTTGGGCGGACGCGGAAGGAAATTTACGGATTGCCGGAGATACCCTTAAGATTAAGATCATGTCAAGTTCATAAACCTAAACACACCGAAAATCCTAAGCCTATGAACATGGGTTGCAGACGTGGGCTAATTGGGACACATCCCACTAAACACACTCCTACATACCATGACACTTAAAACTAAGAAAAAAAAAAGGTAAGCAAAAATATCTATGCTAGCTTCCAACGGGCTACTGTCTCTGCATCCTGAGCTCCTTGCGGAAATTGCCGATGAACCTCTCCGTGTTGGCGAAAAGCTCCTGCCGACTCATCGTCACGTCGCCGTCCAACAGGTCGACCTGAAAATCATCCTGCTCCTCTTGCCGTCCCTTTTCCTCTCCGCCGGCCTGGCTGCCGTTCAGCGCGCTGAGGAAGAAGATGCTCGCCGTCGACGGGCACTTCTTCAGCACCTTCAGCACCACCTCCTTGGTCTTTGTCTTCAGCTCGATTATATTACTCGCTACATAAGCAGGAACCACCACACGATCATCATCCGCAACCGTCGTCCGGTCGTCGGGACGGACTGATCCAGCCCTCTGGAACGGCGAGGCGGCCACGCCTACAGGCGCGACAGCGTGATCGGTACTCGAGGACTCGTCGGCGATGGAAGCTGTGCTGCCGACGAAGGCCTGGATGCCGAGCGCGAGAACGATGTCGTTGAAGAGGAGGTAGCCGTAGGCGACCCTGAGGAAGGCGGGCAGCAGCAGCGCGAGAAGGAGGAGGGCGAGGAGGGAGCCCAGCTTGGCCACCTGGGAGAGCAGTGCTTGCGCTGGGAGCGTGAGCTTGACCGCCATTAATCGACGAGCTTTGCTGACTTCTTGCCGATATAACTAGCGAGTGGTTCAGGTCTATGGTCTGGACTCGGTCTCTATCGGTCTAGCCCGCCGGCCCAGTATATATAGACAAAATTCAGATATTTTCTTGCGGTAATTAATTTAAAAAATTCAGATATTTTCTTTCTGGCTAAGAAAAAGAAACATACCTGTCACCGCACTGACGTAGAGAAATTTGTAGTGGGTATACCTGCCGGTTGCTCCACTAGTAGGAGACCAAATTAATTAGCGGGAGAAAACAAAGCGTTGGCGAAACATCAAAGCTATGCTGATCTAAACAGATCACTGCGTGCCCTTACCATTTTTCCTCAACGAAAAAAAATACGTAACTGCGTGTCTGTGCTGTGCACCAGCAATAAGGCCATAAGGGATTCCATGCCTACCCAAATTCGTGCATATTCTACACTACACGCACGTACAGAGCCGGCCCTAGGCCTAGGCAAAGAGTGCGACTGCCTAGGGGCCAGCCAGGGGAGGGGCCCATATCTTATATTCTTATGTTCTGTGTATATACTACAGAGCCAGCCGTTGATACTTTTTCTCTAAAAAAACACATGGACGCTTCGTTTTTTCTTCTTTCTTCCTCTACTTTCACCCCCACATGGATTACCACAAGTCTCAAAGAAGGCAGGGACCCAACGATGCTAATTTAATGATTTTTCTAGGTGTATCACCACCTTAATCTTTCTCTTTGCTATCAAATGGATTTGTTCGGTTGCACACTTGCACTAGGGCCTCAGAATTGCTAGGGCCGGCCACGTACATGTAGAATAGCGCGTTAGACGGCATGTGCTATGTACAGTCGCCATCACACACACAAGAGCTAGCGTGGCGGTCAAAGTCATGACACGCAGGCTGCGGACAGGCCATATCGGCATGTCGACCAAGATTTGTGGCAGTAGAATGTACCAGAGGTTGCTTTCAACAACTTGCTTCTATTGAGAAACGATCTTGCCGGGTTTTTTCTTAAACACAGACGCAGACGCGCTCTGCTAGTTGAACCCGAGTGACATTATTGATAGGAAAGGTACGTGCCTGCAAAATAGAATTTGTGCCCCTTGATGTGGAAAGCTCAGATGTGTACATGCATGTATATTTGTTCTCGGTCTCGGTCACGCTCTGCTTCTTCGACGGGACGGAGCCGTGGACCTTAACCTTCAAGGCCGTACTCTGGTTTTCTCTCGGCGATCGCGAGTTTATGATGTTCTGGCGTCACCGATGGATGGATGGCAAGGGGGTGGAACAATTGGCCGTCCATCTTCTGCAGTTTGTCCGAAATAGGGGCATTAGGGGCCCGATTTCTGTCCAGGCGGTTGCCGGGTACCTCGTAGTTTGGGCACCCTGCGAATGGTGAGACCGGAGGATGACTCTTTCTCTTGACGGCTTGCTTCGCATGGAAAATACTCTGCAAGATCGGCATATCTGGCTCTGTTTTTGGAGCTGAAGTTGCACCGTGCGTGGTGAAAATTTTCGCTTGACTGTCCGTGGAATGGACCGTGGATCGCCTCGCTCGACGGATTACAACATCCTGACGGCCGTAAGTTGTGCGATCAACTACCTGAGGACAATGACCATATGCTGCTGGGATGTCCTTCCTAGAGGGAGGTGCGGTTCTCGCTGCTGATGCCTCTCCGGCTACACTGATTCACGCCGATGACCCAAGTCCGGCTCCATGAATGGTGGCCACGGGTGACCACGGCGGTGCCAGGCAAGCAGCGGAAAATGGTAAGCTCAGTGATCACGGCTTGCCTCCAGTTCATCTGGCTCGAAATAAACAGAAGGGTCTTCGACCAACAATCCACTTTGCCAGCCGAGGTCGAGCTCAGCTCTCTTTATGGAATATATGGTATGTGGTGGCGGAATAGGCGACGATATAGTGAACTTCCCCATTCCTCCTATCCCTATATGAGTTCGAGCACATACACAAACAATTCATCAAGGTATTTGATAACATCACTGGTGGTACGCAGGATCAAGAACACCATTGAACCGTAAGTGTTGAACTCCCTCGTATGCAAGGCGATAATTATGAAAGGTATGGATGTGTGTGGAATGGGTGGGAATAAGGAAAGGGGCTCCTTTTATGGACATGAGGTGCACATGGATCTTAAAAGGCAGGGGCAAATATATGTGTTAGAGGGTACCAAAACAATGATGGGGATGAAGAGAGGTGTGTCATAGCCCGAGGCCACGACTTCGTCGAACAGAAGGTGGAGGATATAAATACATCTTGTGGAGAGCTGCGACCTTGGGATACTTGCTGCTTGTAGAGAGCAGACACCAAAAAGCAGAGGATTCGGAGTAGAACGGGAGCAGGGCAGGGGAACAAGACAGGTTCAGTCCTTTCTGTTTGATGTCTCGCTTGGCTAAAACTGCTTTCATTTGTAGCTAGCGGAGCAAAGTCACCGGCTCTGTCCCACAGCCATCGGCCCATGTCCATCACGCCCAATACACTCCCATCGACGGGTATGACAAGGTGTGGTAAACTAAAAGTCTGAAATGTAAAAGAAAAACAAATTTGCTCGTCCTAGATAAGGATACTTATCTGAGATATGTAGATGGTTCACCTATGAACATTTGGGTGCTTCACAACTCGTGGAGGGTGCAAGAGGGGAGGTTGTCACGTACTCATGTGAAGTTAACTCCGGGGGTCACCCTCCTTTTCGAAAAAACAAAAAAAAATGCCTAACTATCTCTACATGTCGGATGGCATGTACAATAGACATGGACAAATGTAAATTTGACATAGCACAACCAACTTGAACGTGAGCTAGGGTGGCAAATCGAGCCCCTAATTAAAGGAGGGCTACCGACCCTACGTAGGAAGAAAACTGAGAAGATTATTGGGAGACCTCTTTGAGTTGTGTTGTGTTTTTAGTTATGAAAAATAGACAGAAAAGTAGAGCCTTTGGATATATTAGTTGCGGCTAATTTGTGTTGTGCTGATTTATCTATTTGGTGGTTGTCAGGGATCATTCCTTGATGCTGAGGCTGGTAGTAATGATGCTTTCCTTCTTCAAGAAAAGGTTAAGCTTAATGATTTAATTCTCTCTTATTAAGTGCATAATGGTTGAACACAATTATTTATTTTCAGCAAGAAAATAAAAGGTGGTACATTTGTCTGAAAAGCTCTACCAGATTTTGTTAGTATTCATTTCCCTGATGATAGTCAATGACCAAACTTTTATCCAGCGTGATTGCACTGGTGTGGTGGTCTCTTGTAGATACATTTCACGCTCATAGATACATGATCCTTTGTGACTCCTGGATGTTGTGAAATTCACTGTGCCTCCTACGCATCAAGAATGCAAGGAAAGTATGCATTCAGATACATGAACATTTGGTCTACTATTTTTGATCGATGGATCATAAAAATAGGCAATCTATGAAGATTTTGATTGGGGGTTGCTCCCTATTGATGGACCTTCGTTGGGCACACTTGACGGATGGGCATTTGGCATTGAACATAGGCTAGAACATGTGGATGGATGAAGCCGCATGGTCTCTCGACTACGATATGAGCCATACCTGGAGTACTAATCGAGAAGTTGAAATCTAAAAAAGGAAATAAAAAATAAGAATAGAGATCATTGTATGGAGAGATCCAGATCCACCGTGCAAGACCAGACTGATGGAATGACTATCGGAGTATGGAGTTTTCCAACAATTTTTAATAGAGAGGTTTGTAACAAGTTTTGCTTGGATGCGCTAGGAGATCATGATGAAAGTTGTGACGATCACCGAAAGTGTGCTACAACAAGCATTTGGCACTAGAAAATACATACACCATACATATGATGTGATTTGATTGCCTGCAATACAGGTTCAGACGTTAGTCGTCTTAATTAGATTTTCATCCCTTGTGATTTAATTTTCATTTGTGAGTACTTCAAATTCACTGAACATAATTAGTATTTTGTTTTATAAACATTATAGGATTCCATTACATGTTTAAGAGATATTTTCTCTACTTGCTTAATGATATTTGTAAAGATCATTTGCTACAAAAAATGAAGCAAACCGATCCAGAGATCAAGTCGCTATCTTCAGCAAAAACGTGCAAAGCTGCACGGTCCGCTTAGTGATTCCTACTTCGAGTCGGCATCTTCAGCAAAAAGGCGCAAAGCTTCACGGCCCGCTCAGTGATTCCTACTTCATGAACCAGAACCGTTTCTTTCGTGGAGTCTTTACCTAAATAATGGGATCTTGCTAACTTCCTCGAGCCTACTGTTCTGATGGAAATAAATGATGTTTCATTGTACCTCGAGCCGCAAGTACTTATAGCCCGCTTACATAGAAATTTTTCCCATGGTGGCATCCACCGCCATCCAGTTCACATTGGCATGCATCAGGCGCCGACGGAGCCGTCGACATGGTCATGGATCTGGAATTAGCAGAACTTCAGCAAGAAGTACGTCCGCCAGGTGGAGAAGGGGGGCTTGTAAAGATTGAGGGTGATTGGCACGTGATCCTGAGTGTGCACATGCCAGAGGTTGGCGGCGGTGGCCGGCTCAAGGACGACGAAGGGATTGAAATCCCCGGAGTGGGAGGAACTAAGCGCGCGAGGCCATGGCGAGTGAGAGGTGCGGAAGCGTGGCTGTGGATCAGTAATGAATATCTGATACCATGAAAGAAATCGAGGGAGAAGAGTCTATGTGGCAACTTGATATATTCAATTTCAGAAAATTTATGCAAGTTACAACAGCTCATGGATCGGCTTAACATAATCCTAACTATCAGCAGATGAGGTGTGGGAGATGGGTTAGCTGATCCAGGAGAATATGATTTGTATGTGCGCTAGCTTCTCGGCTACCGTGGCGGGTGAAATGGCTGTCATGGCAGGGTATTTGGGCTGCCACGACAGCGGTATACAAAGCTTGTTCCAGCATCCTACGCAGCCCGAGTTGGTTGGCTATTGGTACAAAGCTCTCTGATAGCATCTGACAATATTCTTGTTGACC